CATATTCATCGTTTTTCCTCTGTTGTTTTCTTTTTATAATTATCATCCTTTCTTTTGCTCACCACGATTCCTATGTTGCTCTGTATCGTTTCTTCTGGATATCCATTAACAAGAAACATCTAAGTTCCTTTTTCTTATTCCTTCTTCCAGAAACCAGAATAGATAATTCCTAGGCCTCTTATGATGCTACTACATAGTATTCCAATCTTCATTCCATAAGTATGGTTAGGGTGCAAGTTGCAGATGGTTTTTGCCGTTCAGGACAGCCGTTTCTAAATAGTCCCTTTAGAGCGAGTTACCTCAACATCCAAGAAATGTAAGTGTTAGTTTTCTTTCACATCCACTGTAAATTTGTATTTTTCATCCATGTCGCTTAATATGATTATAAAATCGTCTATTTTTCCTATTATATGGGCTCAGAGGGCGAAGTATTCTTCCATATATCGTATAATTACTATTAGCTGATGAGGTGAAGTCTTGACATTATCTTCCAACTTGTTCATGTAGACATTAACAGAGAGAGGTGAGACAGGTGAGTCCATAAGCAGATATAATATTTGCTTATGGATGCGGCCGTTGAATGTGAAATTGCTAATGTTAATTCGACCCCGTTTTCGTAACTTGGTCGAAGTGTCAGGGAGACCTTGTTTAACGTACCTTTTCCTGGATCCTCTGCCATAGTATTTGTTATTTCCAGTATCGGATCATTGACTTGATACATTAGCAAGCGTTAAATTTATTGAAGTTGACTGATTTGCCCCTGTTCCTATAGCTTAGTTTTGCTTTCAGACATACTTAAAAAATCGTACCCTGTGCTTCATTTTCCTATTATTGATACATGCTCTTTCAGCATAGGATCACCGAATATTCACGTTAACGGACGTTTCGATGTCTTCTTCGTCGTCAGCGTATATTGTGATATTTAATTTTCGCTTATAAGTAGAGTTTCGAGACTACAAGTAAATATTTTGTCTCAAGCTAAAACGCGCCAGTGCCATCGCCAGCACAGAGTTACATATTATCAAAGGTGTTTTCTATACTACCTGTAATTAAGGATGCCGGTAAAACGTTTGAGGATGTACCAAGTCAATGTTCATATGCTGGAAATCACGAATACTTTAGTAAACGACACATGAATGGGAACGTTCCACAACGACTCTCTGACGCCCCGACCATATTTCGAATATGATGTTGAGCCAACACCATAAAGATAAATGAGTCTACGACTAAACAGAACGCCATATTATCTTGTTCTTTATATCTACTGTGAAATTCTTAGGTTGACTAATCAAGTCAGCGACTTTCTGGACTCGCTCCACCTCCAGGATGTCATCTTTTTCCAAGTTTTCAAGTGGTGTCGTAAGTGCTTTTTCTCTTGATGTACATGAACTAAACATCAAAGCTCTCTGATAGTTCATTTCCTTCCAAACTGATGCCTTTGGTGTTTTTAGCAAAATTTACATGAATTATTCACTATGTTCGATATTCTGTCATTCACATTCTTTATCTTGAGGCAGATTAATTTCGCCAGTGTATTTGTTGCTCTCTCTGTTGCTCACTATCAGTTCCAATGGTTCTCCTTCTTTGTGCTACCCTCGGCGAACCATATGCTACTCGGGCTCTTTCATTTCTTCGTTTATATTCATATCCTTCAGCAGTTAATGCAATGCCTCTGAATTTAACCGTTTGATCATTTGTTAAAAGTCGATAAGTTATAGTGTCTCCAACAATATTTTTAATTTTCTCTGTATATTCCTTCATATCTATCACCAATGTCACACCTTGATCGTTTCTTTTTAATTATCCATATATAATGATTATATTATTGCTTTTAGAGATTTGTATATCATATGAAAGTGTATGCAGAAAACATTAGTAGATTGATCTCACCGGAGGACGAAGACTGACTTCTATTGTATCCACGACTCTTTTCTTCATGCACTTTCATACGAATCAAAGGTCTTCCCAACAATATTATCTCAGAAGATTCATCGGAACCAAATTATTATTCGTATATTCTTGCTATCTGTGGGTTCTTGATGCTTCAAGATTGCTGGAATGATTTCCATTTCTAGCTTCCTTTTTAATTCTTCCAGTAGTTAAGTTCCACAAAGTCTATCTGATTTTTCAACCAAGTTGCGAAAACTAGGTCAAACCAACACTATACAGCTAAAGAAGGCTGCGGCTAAACAGATGGCCACACCATATTGGTCTTCATATCTACCAAATAGTTGTACACTTGCTGGTTACTGGCTTTACTAGCCAAGTCGACAGGAGTTTTATGTTTTCCGTGTCACAAGTCCGTAACCTGCCGAGGTCTAATGCCCCTGCTATTTTACATTTTGGCCTGCATTTTAACCCTTTTTAAATGACTTTTGGCCTCATTGAATTTTTCTCGGATGTCATTTAAAGTTTTCACATTTACATTGCCATTTTCCAATGTCCTTACATGAAATGAGAGCCACATTTATTTTTTGGTGCATAATATTTGGCTTTACAATCACACTCCATTTGCTTCTTATCGTAATAATTTGTAATGACCTATCGGCATTTGATCCATTTTTTTCAGAAACTTGACCAGGAAGACATTGTAAATCCTGTCAGCAAAGTATATGAGCAAAGTTTTTCTAATGCATACGGTGTCAGAAAGAATGGCTTTCTTTCTAAAGCAAAAAGACCATCTAAGGAAATAGTTGACTTTCCTGAAGGACTGGCTGATTTTTATGCTGCTTTGGGCCTAACAGATGTTCATGTCGAGATGCTTCATGTTTCTGAAGAATTATTTGACAGATATCCACTTCATTCTCAATTATTTACCTTAACTCAGTCATCCTCTTACAGTTTGCCTTTGCCCACTCACCCTCTATCGGCATCTTTACTATTACCTCAACCTCTTCCTACCAGTAGGCCATCTATCAAGCCGATAGATCACTTAGGCTCCTCTCTTGGTCGTGCTTCTCCATTCCTGCGGACGGCACATTCATTCCGATATCATGTTCATTTGATTGACCTTGTACAAGTTATGCTGCTTTTTCCAGATGATGACGCAACCTCCGAAAATTATCAGGCCTCTGGTGCCTGCATAAATCAACTGTTATTTTCTTACGCTTATTTATTGGAGTCCCGTTCGCAGACTGAAATGGCCTCTTGTTCATCACAAGAATCTTATTCTCATCCACCATCTACAGTGCATATAAAGGATCAGCTTCAACCTTCGGTCAACAGTTTTATTTGCACATTATTAGTCTCATTCGGACTTGTCTCTACAAGCACATCTTTGGCGCACGAGTCACTTCTGGATAATCCTTACACTGGCCTATATTATATCAGGTTTTAGATCAATCTTCTTAAAAATACTTTTAATCCTCAATTCCCATGTTCCATATACTATGCATCACACCAATTATGTTACTAGTTGAATTACTCTAGTTGATATGAAAGTAAATAATAGCCTATCTTGTTTGCTATTCAAAATTGTGAGTAAAAACACTTGGACCTTAACTATGTTAAAGCGTATTTTATTAAATATTTTGAAGTTGCCACATATTGTAATACTATATTTTTATCACCAATCGACATTAATCCTTATAGGGATCTTGAATTCTAACCTTATATTGGCTAGAAGTTGTTTGACCTTGTTTTCGCAACTTGGTCATAATGGTAGGAAGACTGATAGAAACGCACCT